GCCCGGCTCCGCCGCCGCACGGGGGCCTGCATTCGCCGAGCCGGGGGTTACCTCGGGCTGGCCGGGCCCCAGCCCGAGCTGTAGAAGCCAGAGGAGCCGGAAGAATGCATGGCCGCCGGCTGGGCCGGCAGAAGGAAGCGACGGCGGGGCTCGGCCCCGCTCCGGATGGCGCGGCCCGCGCTCCGTCTCCGGAGGCGCCGAGACTCGGTCCCCGGAGCCCGGCTGCGTTCGCCGGGGCTGGCGGGAGGGGCGGCGGGAAGGAAGCGGCGGGAGCTGGGACCGCGGCGGAGCCGCCCCCAGAGCGCCCTCTAATGAGGGCGCGGCGTCCGCCACCCAGCCTGCTCGCCCCGCCGCCACCGCGGCTGCCCGCGACCCCGCTGGCCCGCGGGTCAAGGCCTTCGGGGCTGACTGGCCGCCAGGCCGGGACCTCCCCCAGGAAAAGTCCGCTTGGAATGGTCTGGGAATGAGTACGAACCCTTTCACCACACGAGGAGTGTGTGGTCCAAATTGAGAGCCCCTTTCGGCCAGAATTGCTGCTCTTCACTGCTCTTGTCTGACAGACCGACCATTGCTCAAACTGAAAGGTGTCTCCTGGAAGATTATATCCTATTTTTTCTTTCCTGTGGGAGCCTCGTGACTTTTCTTCTGAACCTCTCCGGAGTATTAAGGTCTAGAGTTTTAAATCAATTCATTTTAAGCACCAGAATTCTTGTATCTGGAACGTTCATGACACTTCAATTCCCCATCCATCCTTTCCCCAACCAACCCTTTACCCTCAAATCCCACCCCACACCCCAAAAAAGAATCCAGTGAAAATAAGTGGTCTACCTAAAGAGATTGAAATTCGATTAATCAAGATGGGAAAAGCAGCACCTCACTAAGTGCCTGGCGGGAGCTCTGGTAGCATAGTGGCTAAGACACTTGCCTGCTAACCAGATGGTTGGCGGTTCAAACCCACCAGCCACTCCTCGGTAGGAAGGTTGGGCAATCCTACTTCCGTAGTGATACTGCCTTGGAAACCGGCTCGAGGGCACATAACTACAACAAGAAGTGCCTGGCATTGAGTAAGTGCACAAAACATGGTGGCCATAGGATTTTTCAGTCCTGGAATTCTGTAGCTGCATTTCTGTTTTAAAGGCTGGATCACAGAAAGGAAAATAGAGAAACAGCCAAATGACTTACAACATTTGAGCATTCTCAGATGGCCTGCTCAAATTTCAGTTAAAAAAAAAAAAAGTATAAATGTTTTTCACCTTAATCATATTTGTAAATGAGGGAAGGGGGATTGCAATTTTTATATGTCTCCATTTTTATATGTTTTAGTCATCATGGCATCAGTTCTGCCTACTCTGAAAGAGTTTATCACAGTGTTTGCTTTGGACCATCAAAGCTTTCTCTTTTAACTTCAGTGCCTCTTTGGTCCACAGGATGTTATAATGCAAAGGAAAGAAAATTGACTTTATGCCATATAGAAGAATATTTTCTATTCCTATTTCCTCTTGAGATGAGGTAATAAATGAAAGCACAAAGCCTAGATGGAAGTATTTGTTAGATTGCTTTTCATTTATTATTAGTTTGTCTTTATTTATATATGTCAGTTTTGCATTTCAGTAACGCCATATTTTAAGTGTACAGGGCACAAAGAGGCACTTTTTATGTTAGAGAACTTTCTGCATAATTTAACTGATGTAACGGAAAGTTAGACATGCCAATTCTATTGCTTGTATTCCTCTTGAGAATTTAGGCTCAAAGATAAGGTCTTTAAATAAATCTTATGAGAGAAATAATATATGTACTATAGATTATTGTTAGAAATATGTCATTATATTCTTAAGATAGGTGAGCCACTCTGAGAATCAAGAGTAAACTCCCTTAAAGATTCCACTCTGGGCCATATTCATGGTCTATCCCATCCAGCATTCCTCCCATGCTGGATATATACTAGCCAACACTTAGATACAGCCTACCATAGAATTTCACAGAGCATCTGCCAGACATTAGACACACCAGCACTTGATAAGATGTAATTAGCACCAGCCAGCTAGGCCGAGTAGAGATCCAGAGGTCAGGCAGGACCTCCAACAGATCTCAAACAGTGTGCCAAAACATCACTTGGGATGTCTACCTAAAAAAAAAAAAAGAAAAATTGGGGGGCCTCATTCCAGAAGATTCTAATACTCTAGGTCCAGAGGGGAGCTCTGGTGGCATAGTGCCTAAGGCATTTGACTGCTAACTCACCAGCCACTCCTTGGAAGGAAGATTGGACAATCTACTTCCATAGAGGAGCCTGGGTACCTGTTTGTTTGTTTTTTTAAAAAAGAAGTGATTCTTAAACAGGGAGTATGCGGACCTTGCTTTAAGAAACTTTGGCCTAGAGATATCCTGAGATCTGAAGATACTTTTCACTTTTTCTAGACCCTAACCAAAACCCACTGCCATCAAGTCAATCCTGACTCCTAGCAACCCTTTAGCACAGAGTAGAACTGCCCCATAGGGTTTCTAAGGCTGTAAATCTTTATGGAAGCAGAGTGTCACATCTTTCTCCCATGGAGCAAATGGTGGGTTAAATTATTTGATCACATCTGCTCTCATCCTTCTATTTTTTAAATTGCAGAATTCTGCCATATCAGTAGCTCTTCATATGTTGTTGTTATGTGCTGTCAAGTCGGACCCAACTCATAGCGACCCCTCCTTGGGTTTCCAAGGCAGTATCACTACGGAAGTAGATTGCCCCATCTTCCTTCCGAGGAGTGGCTGGTGTGTTTGAACCGCTAGCCTTCTGGTTCTCCTTGGTCATTTCAACGGTGGTCTTTTTAACTGGCTCCAATTCCATTGTTGTTGTTGTTGTTATTTGCCGTCGAGTCGGCCCCGACTCATAGCGACCCCTCCTTGGGTTTCCGAGGCAGTATCACTACGGAAGTAGGATTGCCCAACCTTCCTTCATTGGACTTATCTTAAAGTGAGCTTCAAGAATGATTGTGTTCCAGATTATCTTCTTAACTTTCTTGAAACAGCAGCACATGCAGTTTCAGGACAATTCAGCAGCTACAATAGTTAAGAAACTCAGTTTAGGTTGATTTCTTTAGGGAATAATTTCAGATAATGTTTATGTTTATTTCTTGTATTTAAGAGTTCATGTTAGATACAATTTTTTTTTTTTTTTTTTTTGCTTTACATATAATACCTTCGTTTGCCTATATGAAAATATTTCTCTCCTGTCACCTTTCAATTCACTTAAGCAACCTCCTGAGATCTTTCTGGGTTATTATTTTTTTTTTTTTTCACTCCCATGGAGTCAATTCCAACTCATAGCAACCCTCATTGGGTTTCCAAGGCTGTAAATCTTTATGGAAACAGCCTCCCTCATCTTTCTTCTGTGGAACAGCTGGTGGTTAGGAGCCAAATGCCTTAATCACTGCACCACCAGAGCTCCTTCATAGATGTATATATAAATGCCTTGAATGATTATACCACCAGCAAAGTGGACCGATCTTTAGAAAACAAGGATCTTCTTCAATGACTGATTAGATCTGGTCCCCTATCCTCCTACTTCAGAGCCATGTTTATGAAAACACAAACATAAAATCAAGAAGTTCAGAGCCTTCATATAAACCCCAGCAAGGGAAAAAGGAAAACAGACCCCACTCTAGAGCCACAGGCCTAATTAGTTTCAAAAGCCCATATTTGAGGGGATAGTCCTTTGAAAGAGAAACATGATTCTCACACTTCTTTGAGTCTCCAGATATTTGAAAACAATCTAACCGCAAACACCTTAGAAGGTTTAATTCCACCCATCTGGTCCACATGTATACAACAAATTAGGTTATAACCAGGGAGGGTCTCCCTTGGGCAGAAGAATCCCCCTGGGTTCTCTCTTTTTCCTAGTGGCAATTATAAAAACATTTCACCTACCTGTGCAGGTTTCTGCACTCAAGCTCCAGTGAACTATTTCCTCTCTAGAGGGAAACCCTATCAACAGTTTTGTCAGTGTGCAGTGACTTGGCACAGGCCCCCCATATCACTAGGAAACAGTCACAACCTAGAAATTAGCACCCCAAGAGAGTCATGCATTCTGACTCTTGTCAGCTCTGACTTCAAACAAAAAAGGAAATATATATGGGGATATTTTCTTTTATACTAATATTTAATCATTTTGTATGAAATGTATTAGGACTTATAACCTTAAATTTTTAAAAACAATCATCAGACTTGATTGCATCTTTATTTAAATCATTTTGGCAAATCTTTTTATTAACAAGGTTGGCCTAAACAAGATTATGAAGTAAATAATCCTGCCTCTTTTCTCTAAGCTCCTTTCTTCTTCTACTAATTTCCTTTTTTCCTTCTTAAAGTTATGATGATCCCTAGTTTCCCAAGGGCCCTGGAGACCACACCTAAGAACTCTAACAAGCAGCACTCTAAGCCAGAACTTTCTTTCTCACCTGTCCAGCATTGTATTTCCTTCACTCAACTCTATCCTTTCTGCCTAGAGTGGTAAATGAATCCATGCCAAAGTGCTTATAGCTAAAAACTCTTCTTCTTCCTGAAGTATAAACATTTTATAAAAGAACTCCTAAAACCTCCAAACCCTTAATGTATTTCTTTTGGTCATTCTCAGGTACTGTAGTAGAGTGCTCCTCCAAACCTACAAAGTCAAATAGTGTGACACCTATGAAGACCAGTTCAGATTTAAAATGGTAGTCTTTTCCTAACATAAAAAAAAAAAAACTCAGTGCCATTGAGTTGGATCCAACTCATAGCAACCCCTCCTTGGGTTTTCGAGGCAGTTGTTGTTGTTGTTGTTGTTGTTATGTGCCCTCGAGTCGAACCCGACTCATAGCGACCCCTCCTTGGGTTTCCGAGGCAGTATCACTACAGAAGTAGGACTGCCCAAACTTCTTCAAGGCAGTATCACTACGGAAGTAGATTGCCCAACCTTCCTCCCAAGGAGTGGCTGGTGGATTTGAACCACCAGTCTTCTGGTTAGCAGTTAAGTGCCTTAGGCACTAAACCACCAAAGCTCCCTTCCTAATGTAAGAACCAAATTAATGATGTTATTGATGGTT